GAAAATTAGCCTGCAGCTGCTAAAATCATACAGTCTTAATCCTGTCTTTGGCGAATGCAGTCTAAGAAGCATCAAATTCATTTGAATTGATTGTGCTAGTAAGATATAGTTTGAGTTTTGTAGTTGATAGTATCAACTAATGCAAAAGAAAGATGCCTAAACCCTCGGAGATTGTGTACTTTGGTTATCACACTGATGGGCTCAGTGGTTTGGTGGTGGGTTTTTTTTGAAGTCTATTTGTTCCAGTTGGCTACATATGTGTTCATAATTATTTGGGATCTCAAACAGCTTATTTTAAAAAAATGTATTTCATCTTTAATCTGTGGAAAAGCATTATTTTGGTTTTCTTCAAGTAGGAAATTGTAAACAGGAAATTTGAGTCAAGAAATGTGATAGCTGTGATACAAAGTTTTACAATTTTTCAGTTGCCCATGTAGAGTACACTGAAAGGGACCATTTCTGTACCATTTATGTAACAGGATGTGCTGAAATTGTAAATAACACTGAGAGCTGATGGAATTGGGGAGAACAAGGTGGTGGAAATGGGACTAGTGACTTGGAAATTATCTGGAAGTATGGCGTGTTCTGTAACCATATTTAAGCAAGACCTGAGACTGCTGTAGAATTACAGGGTACAAGGCAATGAAACCAGTTCTGCTGCTGCGTGACAGGACATTCAAAATTATTTGGGCTGTAAAGCTTCATTGAGGAGCAAATTTGAAGTTGCTGTGTGAAACAGCTGGTTTTAGTTTGTTAATCTGGTATTAAACAATAAATTATATTTTCTGTAAGTGGTCCAAAGATATTTTAATGAGAATTTCAGTGCGTAAAATGGGATTTTTTTTTGTTTTCTGATAGTGAAGCCTCTTACCACTGCTGTCTGTCTCTGTACATAGCAACTTCTTGCAGCATAAGATCAGATGTAAGCCTGCATACTATTTCACACTAATTGTGTGGGTGTATGTTCCCCCTGATTTTGAAAATTATTAGATCTGTTGTCCTTCCAGAAAATTAAAAACAGGCCTGTGAATGCATATTAAAGCCTTGTAGCACTGGCCTGATATTAGAACTGCCAAAGAGGTGCAATGTGACAACGTGATTATTCCCTTGAGGACACGTTACGTTTATAAATACATAATTCATCTGTATTCTGCATATATAAAAAAGAAAAATGTAGAAAGAAGAAATACAGAATCAAAGGTTCCCAGGGATTAATCTTTCAATTTATTTTGTATACTTAAAACTTGTTTGAACCCATTAAAAATATATGTATACACCCATGAGAAATCTTGTAGCATTACAGTATACTGAAGGGATATTTGGGCATATTTCAACATCTGAGTAAATACTCCGACTTGCTGAGACTCTTCTGAAAGAATGAATTAACTATTGACTGCTTACTTAAATTTTTCTGGTTCTGTTCATCAGCACAAAAATATATTTTCTTACATTTTTCTTGCACAGCCTGAAAGCTCTTCACTTTAGCTGTGAGGCACTTAAAGAGACATGGCTATCAAGCGATAAATGCTTGCCAAGGATCAGAGGGAATTTGGATTTACCTTAAAATTAGAGAGGGCCTCCCAAATATGCAGCTGATTTGGCATGTTCGAAATAAGATTGAGGTCTTACTTGAATCTGGTTAGTAACTGCATTTAAACAAAAATTACTATTTCTAGTGAAAGACTTGTGAGACTTAAGTCCAGTAAAAAGAGGGTTACCTCAAATACTGGGGGCAGTACTTTTGCTTAATCATGCTCCTTGCCTTACAACTTCAGATGACAGATGTCTGGAATGCAAATAAATTAATTGGGTTTACTTGGAAATAATATAATGAAAGGCATGTTGTTCTTCAGGCAACACAGCAGGGGAAAGAAAGGTGGTTACAGAAACCCAGTTTCTTTCCTTTATTCTGACTGTGATTTGTAGTGCTCTGACCAGGAGGAGACCTTTGTATTCATTGTATTTCACTCCCAGTTGCCCTAACAATAACTAATTGGATATATTTATTAAGAGGTGTGAGTGATGCACAAAAGCATCAAGTAGTCAAGTAGTCATGTGAAAATTCAGTGTTCTTAATGTGACACACCAGGAAAATTACACACGCCATCAACTCTGCATGAAACCTGTGACTAAAGAGAACAATTACTTTTTCATTTAGGAAAGAAATGTGAAACTGTCTTAAGCAATCACCTGCCTTAAGCAATGGGTCATGGAAAAAAATAATAATTGCAAGAACTTTCTAATAAAGGGGAAGCCAAAGTGAGCACATGCAACATGGGGCTAAGACTGGAACGGACAATTTTACTGTTTTCTTTCTCTCTCTCTTCCTAGCCCCCATCTCCAGTCCTTTTCCCCTCCTGTAGCAGGGAATGTATCTGTATATTTTTGTTGTGGAGCTTGCTCAGCTAAGTGTGAGAGAAGTGCTGTGGAGGAGCAAGGTGAAGGTAGCTGTTGCCTGTTACCTAATATGAGAATCTTGTACAGTTTTTATTAATAAAATCTTTGAAATTTCCCAGTTCATTAAGACTCCAAAATGTTTATAGATAGTGGTGTTAGTTCTCGCTCTTCTTAGCTGAGCAGTAAGGCGGAACAAACCTGGTGAACAGTAGCATTGCAGCAATGGCTGCTTATAGAGGAGGCTTTATATGTTACAAAGGTGCTTGGATGTCATCAGGAAAGGTGAGAAGCTCTGTCACCTTTCTTCCTTTTGAAGAAACAGGATCTTTCTCTAAGTGATGGGTGAATCATCAAGAATGCTGCATTATCGAGATAGAAATTGCAAAGATACAGCACACAATGCACCAGAAAATGTATGTGTGGGCAGGTGGTCCAGGAGTTCCTACCCTTGGTTATATTTCTAGCCTGTCGGATAAGGTGAATTTTTCTCAAATTAAAACCAAAAAAAAAAAGTTGGTCTGCAAATGGCCATTTCATTGGCCTAAACAGGAAGGGATGAGTCGGTATTCTATTCTGATAGTTTTTGTGTCCAGCACTTTTCCAGGAAATATCATTTGGAGGATCAAAGGCTGTGTTTCGCAGACACTGAACACAAGAAGGCTGTATTTAGCTGGTTTAATTACACTTTTTTTTTTAAGTTCCATCACAGGACTTAATGTCTTTTTTTTTTACAGTGCTTCAGTATATAATCCTGTTAGGAACCTGCAGATGTATAATGAAGCAGGAAGTAGCACTGTCATCGCTTCAGCTGATTGTTTCCCCTGCGCTGGAGTGTATTAACTAAGTAATGCTTCACTTGGCTGTGTAGAGCCAATTGCATTCTCAAGGACATCAGGCATGCCTGAAGATGAGTCATTACCTTTGGTAGAGCACAAGAGGTGTGATATGCAGTCTCAGCAAGCGTTTGTCCATTGAAGTTGGTTAATAACCTATAGCCCTCTCCGGTGGCAAGATGCCATAAATCAATCCTTTGTGCAGTCAGCAAACAGAAAGGCTGGCGTATCGACTGCCTCTTCAGTGTCATCCCTTTATTCCCATTCCTAGAGCGAGGTGTTAGTCTGCAAAGGGATTTTTTCGTGTCATAGACCTCCCCTTCTGCCCCAGTTCCTTGAGGCAGCAATCACAAGGGTAGCCATTAAAACCAGGGGAGAAACACCACAGGGTGTTATGTGAGTGACTGCAACCTCCTGTAGACTTCCTCAAGATTGTGAAAACCTATAAAATCTCAGAGCCAGCCCCTGGGAAGTAACTTCCTCCTGGGGAAAATGGATAGGACCAGTCAGGAAAATTACACAAGATTGAATTCTACAGTGTTTACCCTGCGATCACTTCTTATTTTTTGTTGGAGGTAAATAAACAGCTGGCAAAAGCAGTTTTTCCTCTGTCAGGAGATGTAAAGTGGCTTTGGTGCCATTCCAATCCATATGGCAAAGGATTCCTTTTCCTTGACTCCTGTGGCAGTCCTCAGTGCAATGCCTGATTAGTTAAGGCCATGGGCAAGAGGGAGCTACCTTGTAATAGGCAGAAGTTATTAGAGGAAGGTGTTGTCAAGCCTCCGTGGGGTAACGGTGATCACTGCACGCTTTTAGTTTTGATATCATGAAAGAGTCGTTCCCTCAGGGACAACACAGTAACAACAAACTTTAAAAGGGCAGATTATAAAACTATGAGGAAAATGGTTAACAGCAGGCTGAAGGGCAAAGAAAAGTACTTAAAAAACATAGAAATCTGCCTGGAGGCTATTTAAGAACATCGTATTAGAGGCACAGATGGTTTGTATACCTCTGAGCAAAAACATAGCGTACGAGGAAGAATGAAACTCACAGGGTTACGTGGGAGAAAAGCATAAGTATAGAAAGGTTGAAAACATGTCCCTTAAAAATGACGACTGTCTGCAAGACAGACTAGGAAACGTTACCAGAAGAGTGGAAAGAGCTGGAAAGTGTCAGTGCTATGAAAAAGACTATAGCAGCTGCTGACTTACTGACTTCATCCCGGGTCCCCAGGATGAAACACTGA